TTTGCAGGTATTCTGTTCCTACCAGGCCTGTCCATGTGCTTTGGTGCTCTCAAGCGTAAGACTCAGCGTTTCAATGTGCGATCCGCTGGTGTCACTTCCACCATGCTGCTATTCGCCGTCATTGGCGCTTTCGGTCCGACATTGTTCTACCAGATCTACGGAAGCGTGAGTATAGCCCCATTGCACGTCGATCCTGTGCTAACTCTAACCAGCATGAACTCAACTGCCACTCATGCGTGCACTCCAATCACCACGTTCCCCTTGAGCGAGACTGCCGTAGATGTTACTACTCACAAACACCAGCACTCAATGATCGCTTCTACAACGAAGCTGTCAAGCCTTACACCTGGTTCGCGGCTGCTCTCCTGTTCTTCTCCTACATCATTGGTCTTCTCTTCACCCTTCGTACCCATGCTGCGACAATTTGGACGGAGCCAGATGCTCAAGAGAAGAAGCTACTCGAGATGAGCGCCAGCAGTCTCAGTCAAAGCGGCCACATGGACTTCCCACATGCTTCTTTCGTCAGACAAGCGACAGGAAATTCCATATCTCGTGCGCACATACGCGACAGCCAGCTGTACAAGCGTATGGTTAGCCAGACTTTGCAAGAAGTTGGTCTTGGACCTGAACACACTGCATCAGACACCGGGCGGCCTGGATCTAAATCGGACAGCAATACACCACACATGGTACCGCCAAAAGAGAGCGACGCTGTCTCGCACCACTCTTTCCACGTTGAGGGGCTTACAGATGATGCTGCAGAGTCGCTTGCGCGACAAATCACTGAAATCGCGGCAACGACGACCGCTTTGGCGACGCGTGACGTTACCAGGGCTCCACGCAAGGCAGCGCAACTCGCCCATACATCAACGAAAGCGCATGCAGAACGCCCCGTTCACACGCGAACGAACACAGAAGCTGCACCCGAGGAGCTTGATACAGCGACTGGGCATGCCTCTGGTGGGCACGATGCACCAAACTGGAGCCGTCAAAAGAGTGCTGCTATCCTGCTGACGGCGACTGTCGCATATGCCATCATCGCTGAGATTCTCGTTAATACCGTTGATGGTGTTCTTGAAGGCTCTGACATTGACGAGAAGTTCTTGGGTATCACGCTCTTTGCACTGGTTCCCAACACGACTGAGTTCCTCAACGCCATCTCGTTTGCCATGAACGGCAACATTGCACTTTCCATGGAGATTGGTTCCGCGTACGCTCTCCAAGTGTGTCTCCTCCAGATTCCGGCTTTGGTGTTTTACAGTGCCATCCACACTGGATACATTCCCGCTCAGGACGTTGCCAGCCAGACATTCACTCTCATCTTCCCGCAATGGGACATGGTTACTGTCATCCTCTGCGTCTTTCTCTTGTCTTACATGTACGGCGAGGGTAAGAGCAACTACTTCAAGGGCTCTATTCTTATCTTGTCGTATCTTGTGGTCATTGCCGGCTTTTACCTCTCCGGGTTCAACGACTTCCAGAAGATGGGTGTCGATCCGATGGACACGCTGGCGCTTGGGGGGTTGGTCGAGCAGCAGGTGCAGTCCATGACATTCAAGACACCTGGAAGAGGTCGCAGTGGCGTGGCGTACTGAAAAGCTTTATTGTGATATTGAGGTATGGAGGGGGATGTTAGAAGAATGTTAATGAGTGTTTGCAATGGGCAGGTTTCTGCACAAAAGGTACATAGCGCAGGCGTTTGAGGAAAACTTTATATTGGGAATAATTAGTTATGAAACGCACAAATAGTGGCAAGACTGCCACGTAATCGGACATGGAGATGCTCTGTTGATCTGTGAAGTATAATTCATGTTGGGCTGCACTCAGGTCGAGCGGTGATTGATGATCAGCTCATGCAGCGTGCAATGTTCCTCCGGTGCGGCACCAGAGAAAGCATATGCAAGAGCTCCTAACTCGGACTGCTGACAGAAACATGATCAGGATGTGCTCGAACATCGTGTTTCGCATAATCGTCTACGTGAAGCCTATAGAATCAAAGAGACATGAAGTCGGTCCGTGAACGCTGCTCAGCCATGCAGGTGACGACAGCTTCACAACATCCTGCGATGGGCGTGCGAAGTCGAGATGGGCGGAGTGAGGCGGGTATATCTTACAGGTCACGATGCGACGAAGTCCGCAAGTCGCAGCGCATGGAGTGGGTCCCCCGGGCGATCCAACGTGGGAGGACTGGAGAGGAGGGTGCGCGCACATGGTGCGGCAGTCTCGGAGTGGCAGATTACAGTGGGTCGCCGGCGTCAGCGGGCGTGTGAAGATCAATCGATACGCCATGGCCGTCCGCGCCTCTCCGTCGAGGCTTCAATCGACCCTCGCTGCCCCGTCTATTTCTATGTCGCGGTTTGGTGTTCGCGCGCGATATGGTAGTGTGCAGTCGCGGGATTTGCTTTGTCGTATACTCGCTTTGAACCGCCTGGGCTTTGCCAAAGACGCGCGACAGCGGAAGCCACACCCCGCGCTCGAGATCTTCTCTCCATGAGGCGTCGGGCCTGGTGTGCTGGTCATCGATAAGGCCGACGGTCAGCCGTTCGCTGCTGAGCGAGCGATATTGCTACCCAGTGTTGCATCATACACAGCATAGACCCTGAGATGCTGCTCGTGCGACCGCATCGCCTGCCGTCGCGATTGGCGTGTCTCTTGTTCGCGACCGTCGCCACGGCCACGATATCCTCGTCTAACACGTCTACCGCGCGTACAAATCTTTACGACGGCACTCTACCGCTCACTAACGCCCAGGGCGACGACGGGACCAGGATAGCCGATCTGATCCCATTGACTAAGGATGCCGCCAACTCAGTTCGTCAAACACTATTCGTCGCATCGCCTTCATGCACTGACAAAGCACTAGGTCCAGGGCAATCTGTACAATACCAACTACACCAGCGTCGTCGGCATATCCAATGACGAAATCGCATACATCAGCTGCGACACCACCGACTACAACGGCTACGACACTGCGCAGGGCGTCTTCGAACAGACCTACTTGCAAGGCAACATCTCGGCAGTTATACTGTATAGCAGGACGTCAGACTACTGCAACTACACTCAGGACAAGACACAGGTCATGATGGACGAATTCGCCATATACTCGATGACGAACAGAGCGGACTCGGCAAAAGTGCGCAACGACATCATCGACATGCCGGCAGCTATGAAATACTTCGTTCAAGTCAAGGCGCGAGATGAGGGGAACAACGATTCCGGCAACGGCCAATACCAGCAGAACCCGCTGGGACCATCGCCTTCTACCGCCGTCGCCATGATCATTCTATACAGTATCACCGGCATCATCACAGCCTTATTCCTCGTCATCATCATCACCGGCGCCGTCCGCGCGCATCGCCACCCCGAACGATACGGCCCTCGAAACGTACTCGGACGACCGCGACAAAGCAGGGCAAGGGGCTTGGGACGAGCTATACTGGATACCATACCCATTGTCAAGTTTGGCGAGAAGGAGCCGGCGAAACCCGCTGATGTCGAACTGGGCTCGACGGCAGAAACACGGGATGTGAACGGCGTAAACACAGACACGGAAGCGCAAGCGAGTGGAGGAACAGCTGCGACCCAGCACGACACGAGTCCAGATTCTGTGCCTGGTGCGACTGAGACAGCACAGGTCGTAAGATCGGATCCCGCGGAAGAGCAGCAATCCGGCATCGCGCCGGCACAACCTGTTGCCGCTGGTGCGACCACGGGCCTCGACAATGCTTCACCAGATGAAGGTCTGGGATGCTCGATCTGTACCGAAGACTTTGAAAAGGGTCAGGATCTCCGCGTTCTACCATGCGACCACAAGTTTCACCCAGAATGCGTGGATCCGTGGTTATTGAATGTATCCGGCACATGTCCATTATGGTATGACTATTCTCGACCTTACATGCAAACGTTGTACTAACCTTTGATAGCCGGGTCGACCTCCGTCCTGTAAACTCACGCGATTCAACGGGATCGCAAGAAGATGAGCTCGCTCCCCCTTTGAACCCCGAAGGCGACACATCCCATCGTCGCCGCACCGCGCTCTTCGATATCCTATCTCTCCGTCAACGACCGAACGCCTCACCCGAAGAGCGTATATCTGCTCTACGACGACTAAGAGAACAGCGGAGGAACCAAAGTGGTGATGTCGCAACTGGCAGTGCAAATGCGAGTACCGAGGATGTCGATGGCGCGCGCGACAGGAGGAATAGGCGCATTAGTGCCAGACTGAGCGATGTCTTCTCTGGTCGCTCGAGGAGGGAAAGAGCTGATGAGAGTTCGGCACAGCAAGGAGGGTCACATAGGAATGAAGCGGATGCTGCTCCTGGCGCGAGTGGGCCCAGCGCATGAACGTGGAACATGGATTGTATACGAAGATGATGATATCTGTACAGAGTATCTGTATTGGCGTTTGGGCATTCGCTTTCCCGGTCATGGTTTCATAAGCTGGCTGCGCATCGTATGGCGTTGCGGGATACCAGGATGTCTTGATCATTGGCATAGTACTATATTTGAGGATGCGAAATGCTATCTGTTGTTCTGCCCTACTGACCATTCCACTTTCTCTCGGCCTGGTGCTTCTGTGGTTGTGATGCAGCTTCCCACTCGCTTTGTTCCTATCGCGTCATCAGCAATACTCGTTGAAAGCTGAACTTATATTAGGGGGTGGTGCATAAACAGAAGAACGCAACCCTCTTAGTACTGCTTTGGTTACTTACCTGTTGCTGCCAGGCTTTAGTGATGATCAAACAGCAGATCAGACGGTGAAGTTACCCATTCCAAGCCTTAGACGTCCACAGTCACTTCACTTCTTCACGACCAAGCGCTTCACAACCTTCTCTTTGGTTCATGGACAATTAGTCTACCGCATGTCGTCCAATCCAATCCTATCGACGTATGCAAGCCAATGCATGACATGCAGGGGAAGAAATCCTTCTTGGTTGCCAAGTGCCAACATGATCGCGATCAGCACACATGACGCGGTTCCAATGTCAGTGTGGCTGCCTATGTGTTCACCGGTTCTGGCATGCTTATCTGCAGCACAACTGCAAACTGAGCAGCAAAACCTTACCCACATACCTCAAAAACTACCCTGCCGGCTCCAGACTATCACATAATGACTACAAATACTCCATCAGAAGCCCCATCAGAAGCACCACCAAACCCACCCCACACATACGATCGCAACACACCCGACCAACAAGAAATCACCGCAATCCTCGCCAAATTCAACAAAGATCCTCTCGCTCTGAGTGTCATCTCCCTGGGCAAAGATGGAGTCCTGCGAAATCTATCGGCGGATCGTGCGGTCCTCGATGCTGTTGGACTGAGTCCGCGACTTGTGAAGGCGTTCTTGGACCGCGTGCCTCCAGACTACCGCGCGCTCACGCCAGAACTTAAGGAAGCTGATGGATCGAAGGCGACGTATGAGGAAATGTGGCACCCGGATCCGGGACTGCTGCCACGACCTATGGGCGAGGAACAGAAGAAGAAGGCGTTAGCGATTTTACAGAAGGAATAGCCTCAGCGTATCTATATTTAAAGTATTACATTAGATTTACTCTTGTTATAAACTAGCTTATTAAAAAACTATTTATTCTATAGTATTAGCTAGTCTAGAGAACTAAAATTTATTACTAGTATATAAAAAAACTAGTTTAAAATAGTGTAAATATTTATTTTATTAGTAAACTAATAATTTTATAGTAAAAGCTAGTCTAAAAAATAAAATCTAAAGTAAGTCTATTTTAGACTTAAAACGCTCTACTTTCTAGCTAATACTAAAGAGTATTATTATATTATAGTAAAGCTTAGTTATTATATAGATCTTAGAGCTTATATCTTATACTAAGCTTTTTTACTTTTATCTAAAGTTTTAGTACTATATCTTATACTATATACTTATTATATTACTTTTATTTAATTATTTTACTTCTATTTAGAGTATTATATATATTATACTTTATAGTATATATAATAATTAAAAGTTTTTATATTTCTTAGTAGCTTACGCTACTATACTAAAATACTAACTTTTAAAATTACTATAATTATATATAGCTAATTATAAGACTACTTCTAGTCTACTAATTAGAGTATCTACTTTTATCTAGTATAAGTTAAGTATATATAGCTCTATAAGTAGAGTAATAAAGTCTATTACTAGTTTATAAAAAGATATATTTCTTAAAAAGTTTAAACTTTCTATTTAAAAGTATAACTATCTAGTAAACTAAAGCTTAAACTTCTAGTACTACTACTTTTAGTATAGTTTAAGCTTCTAAGATTTAAACTAGTAAAGTAACTATATTATAAATACTAGTATTTACTTATAGTAAAAAGAATTAAAATATAATTTTATATTTATATTAGCTTATAACTAATAAATATATAAATTATAAAGTAATAAAATACTAAATCTCTTAGTATATAAAATTATAATTCTACTATATATATACTTTTTATACCTATCTTACTACTTATAATAAATTAAAGATTTTAAAATCTATTAAGAATATAAATAGTAGCTTAAATTTAGAACTAAAAATATATATACTAGATAAGCTATAACTATATAATTTCTTAAATTTTCTTTAAAAGTTCTTTTAGTATTAGTATATCTATTATAAATTTTATTACTAGTTTTATTATTATTCTATTTTATAAAGCTTAATTAAACCTTTTTATAATTACTATATAAATTACTTTTCTCTTTAATAAATTATAATTGTTTATAGATTTTTTTATTTATTATTATTTTAAAAGCTATTTTAAAAGCTATTATAAAAAAAAGAAAGAAAGTATAATTATAGTAGCTATAAATAAATTAGAAAGTATAATTATAGTAAGTATAAGTTAAGTAGCTAATATTTAAGAACTATTCTAATTCTAATTTAAGTTATATTCTAAAGTATAGTAGCTAAAAAGTAAAAGTAAAAATAAAAAAAAAGTTTATAAAGTAAAAGTAAAAAAAGTAGTTAAGTTATAAAAAATTAGTAGTAAAAAAAAATATACATTATTTTAAAAAACTTTAAAGTTAGAAAAGTATTTTTAAATATCTATTAAAATATCTAAGTATTTAAAAGTATTAAATAAGATAATTTTTTCTTCTATTATAGAACTAGTAATAACTAGTAAGTATACTTATATTATATATATATATATAGCTAATAATAAGTAGTATTTAAAGTATACTTATATAAACTTATAAATAAAGTAAAGTTTAAGTTTTTTAATATAGAAATAGTAGTATATAAAAAGATAGCTAGTATTAGTAAGAAGAATAAAAAAAATAAAAAAGCTTTATTATTAGATATTAGAGCTAGTACTAGAGCTTAGACTATTTATATATCTTTTTAAGAATATAAAGAATTAAAAAAATATATAGTATAGATTTATAGCTATATAGCGTAAGCTTATAAAAAATAAATAATATAGATAGTATAAAGAAAGTGTTTATAGTAAAGTATAGTAAGCTACTAAAGTTATTATACTATAATCTAAATAATAAAGTTAATCTAAATACTTATAAAACTAATTTTATAGAAGTACTTAAGATATAGAATAGTCTAAAGATATACTAATAAATTACTTATATAGCGCCTATAAAATATATATAATATATTAGTTAAGTATTATATTAGTGTAAGTAGTAGTATAATATTACTAGTAATAGTATTTCTTTACAAGTAGCTATATATAAAGTAATTTTTAGTATCTTTGTATATATATAATATAATATAATATAATATAATATAATATAATATATAGAGTAGTGCTATATATCTAATTTTATAGACTTTATTTAGTAAAAAGATATTAAAAAACGCCTAGCTTCTAAGTTATCTTAGAATAGCTAGAAGATTTTAAGATTTTAAGATATTTAGTGTATTTTACTATTAGTACTAATACTTAACTATAACTATATATATTTATATACTCTCTTTACGTAGTAGTTAAGAACTATATAATATAATAGTAATAGAAATACTATACTAGGCCTTATAGTATCTATTCTCTAATAACTATAATATAATAACTATTTCTCTAGCTCTTAATAGAAGTTCTAGTAGTTTATTATAGCTACTATTTAATAAATAGTATCTTACTATATAAAGTAACTTATAAACGCTATATTTTTACTATTTTAGTATTTATTACTTTTATAAAGTATTCTAGCTAAAGTATTTCTTTACTAAAGTATAGCTTTTTATAAAGCTAAAGAAAGAAGTAAATTAATTATTTCTTCTACTTTATATACTTAGTTATAGAAAATAATATAGTAAATAATTAGTATTATTTTATTAGTAAAATTATTAATATAATAGTCTTTAATAGAATAGTCTTTTTAGTTTTTCTCTTTTATAAGTAAAAAACTATAACTACTAAAAAGCTTATATATCTTACTATTAAGCTTCTTAAAAGAAAGTCTAAAATAAAAAATAATAAAAAGTTCTACGCTAGCTATATATATAATAAAGATAATAGAGATAATAAAAATAATAAAGATAGAAATAATAGAAATAGAGGTAATAGAAATATTAATAGCTCTAGTATATAGCTCTATACTAGTAAAGTAGCTCTTTAGAGTACTTATAATAGCCTTTTATATAGTATAAATATAGTAGTTTATAATAGCCTCTATAATAGCTTTTAGAGTAATAATTTTAAGAGAACTTATAAAAGTAGTAATAGTAATATATTTAAGAGAAAAGTAATAAATATAGTAATAATAAAAGTACTTAATTAAGCTTTAGTAAGTAAGATAATATAACTAGTAATAAAATTAGCTTTAAATAGACTTTCTAATACTAGAAGAAGTTATAAAGAAGTATAAGAGAGAATATAGTTAAGAGCTTATTTAGTATACTAGTATAGCTTTAGAGTTAGATTTAAGCTACTATTTACTTTAATAAGTTTTTAGATCTCTAATATACTATAAGCTATAAAATAAAAATAGATATAAAGATAGAGATAGAGAATAGAGAGTATATATATAGTAGAAGTATAATTTTACTTACTAAAAAATTTAGTTTTTTATTACTTTATAATCTATAGCTTTATTAGTTATAAGCTATTAAGAATATATAACTATATTATAATTCTCTTTACTATTAGTAGATATTAGTATTAATAAAAGAGTTACCTTACTACTCTAAATTTTAAAAGCTTTAACTACTATACTAAGAACCTAAGTCTTAGTCTATCTAACACCTCTATCTCTAAACGTAGAATATTAACTCTTTTAGAAATACGTCTTTTTATATACTAGTAATAGACCTTACTTTTTTTAAACTAGCTTACTATAGAATTATTAGTTTACTAATTAATAATATATATAGTATATATAAGTATATATATATTATATAGTATATAGTAATTAAGATAGATATAGAGTAAGTAGATATAGATATAAGTATAAGTAAATTATAAAAGTACTATCTAAGTAGCTACTTAAGATAGTAGATATCTAAAGCGCTATATAGGTTTAGTAGACTTAAAAGCTATATTAAGTAAACGTATATAAGTAAATTATTCTAACTTAGACTAGAGAGTCTAGATTTGTGAAGATTATAATAACTTAGTTATTATTATTATCTTTTATTATTAAGCTTTATTAAGATTACACTTATTATTATTTCTTAACAAATTAGAAAAATTCCTAGTAAATCTAATTGCTTACGTAATTAAGATTTTAGTAGCTAGTTTTAATCTACTACACTAAAAGATTCTAAAACACCTTTATTTATCTTAGCCTAGTTAATATTAGAGTTATTACGTAATTTAATAACTCTTATCTTCTTATCTTTCTTTCTGTAATTACTAAAAGATCTAGTAATAAACTAATTATTAGTCTATACAATACAACGCATAGACTAATATAATTAGTACTAGTTTAGATTATAAATCTAGAAAATAAGAAGAATTTAGTAGACTTAGATTATAAATCTAGAAATTAAAGAAATTAAGTAGATTTAATTATAAATTCTTATCTTTAGGCAGAAATAGGTAGATATTTACGTAATTATTCTAGTAGCTATTTTCTATAAAAGAAATAGTAATTCTTTATAGTTATTTTTTACCTAGTAATAATATTATTACTTTTTACTTACTTTTTACTCTGTAATTACTTTATTACAAATCTTTATTAGTTATACTATTTATTATAGTATTTAACTACTTTATTCTAACAAAGCTATATTCTATTATTAGAGAATAGTTCTTATTACTTATCTATTCTTTATAGGTTATAAGCCTAGCTAGACGCTTATAGCTTTGTTAGAATATATTTTATTTATATTATTACTTATTCTAAGTAATTAATATATTTAAAAGAAAAAGACTTTTATTTATTCTAAAAGAGTTATTCTTTAGAATTAATAAAATATCTATTTTAGAACTGTATAGTTTAACTTATACTTTTTATCTATTATTATAATAGTACCTTTTTAGCTTTAAGCTATTTAAAGA